TTAATTGCAATTAGTTTGTGACAGAGCTGCTAACTAAGTAAATCAATGGAAGGAAAGCCATCAATTTCTGTCTCCAGTCCACCAAAAGTGTGCACATTTGACATTTCTCACTTAAAACAACCAGACCTGATATAAGTATAGCTTGAATCTACACTCTTCAACACTTACTCTCACCAAACACACTCGGCAATGCGTAACGATTGACCATTGAAAATGAAGGCTAGAAATTACAGACAACAAATTAGCTATATAGTTCAGAGATTGGTCAGTGTATACACCCAGACTGGTCAACTAATACTATACTGGTCAGTCACTGAAATCAGAATGGTCAAATATTCTCTTTGAATTTACTAAGTTTATAGCAATTATAGAACTGCAATTGTCTTTTTTTTAATGATTCTATCTAGCATTTCATTTAAACACCACACTGGCATGGACTGAACCAAAAAAATCTGTTTCTGTCTTTTAGTTAAATTTCATCTCGTTTATTTCCAATGTGTTAAAGTATTTTTTCTTATTTTTTGATAATGAATAATGAACACTTCAAAAAACCCATCATAATATTAAGCTTATTTCAAGGTATGAGAGCTACATCTATAACTAGTGATATTTACAGGTTTATATGGGGACAATGCTGTAATCTGTGTTTTTTAATAGGACATGGCTGTAATCTACCGACAGTAATTATTAAGACTGATCTCCTGGTCCTGGACAGAGCTGGTATCTAGCTATAGGCTGCCATGTAGTACACATTAAACAAGAAGATAGATACGCGTTCCTGTTATAGTAAACAGAAAATAGGATATAAGTCTAGATGTACTTACATCATACATCTATATTTGATTTTCATTCATTGGTCTAATCTCACAACTTTATACTCAGGGGAGAAATCATCATTGTTAAAAAAAACGGGTTTCCAAGAATAGATGCAATATACGTCAACACCCCATAAATAGACCGAAATACAATTATATGGTGTTTTACAGTAAAATGGGATTTCCACAGAGAACGCCGTATACACTATAGGAGGCAGGGGAACAACACACATCATGTTTCTTTACGGTGACACCGTAAATTCATGCCATCATATACCACTGTTGACATCTCAAACCAAGTGATCATGAACAGCTACGATGTATTTGAAGCATCTATTTTAAATTTCACAATAAGATGACTGAAAATTAAATGAAGTACATGTACATTGGCATAAAATTGAAATCATTTTCAGCATCCACCATATGCAGAATTCAATGCAATAATAACCCATAGCTAGCACTAATAATCCATAGCACTTACAATCCATAGCACTTAAATTATAATTTATAGCTCTTATAATTACCATGTATATATACAACACAATTCTTGCATGTATTGTTCCATTTGTTTCCATTGTATTTCTCTCATCCGTATCTCTTTATTTTTCCTGATTGTTTTTAAATTCTCTTATTCATTCCATCAATGTAAAATCCATTAAAGCATAATCATAATTAAGCTGATAATCACATTTCTGATATTTTTATTGGTTGATTTATGTAACCTTCACCTAAAAAGAAAAACATATAAATACTGGCGAGATGAAAATCTGGTAAAATGGTACTTTAAAACTTTCTCTTCAGTATAGTTAATTTTGTAAAAAGATACTAACTTTTGTTTTGGTCTCATTGTTTCACTTTTTTAATTCTGAGAAAGCAGGATGTTGGTGTGGCTTTCAGTGACACAGCCTTATGAATAGCACCCAATTCAGCATTATGAGATCAAGTACATTAGCATGTCTACGTTTCTGTTAGGACCGTTATCAAATCAGCTGTGCTAGGATATAGTTTATCTCATATCTGACGATATCAAATCAAAATCTGAATTGACAAGTTTGACATTTTAAGCACAGCTTCCCACAAGGTTTTGCCTAGAACAATATTTCTAAATGTGCATCCGAGTCATAAATGTAGACTGTTTTCAAAATTGAAACAAAATCGATTTAGCGGTTCAATAGTTACCATGCTGGTTTATAAGAAGGCATCACCAGAATCATGGTATAAAAATTGCAGTGGGGGACAGCTTATATCTTGCTTTGAATTGAATTTGTTCAGAATCTTGATAAAAACAAAGCTTACTGAAGTTATAATAATATATAACATTGGTAGTAATTCACAAAAGCTCATACCCATAAAATTGTCAATCTCGTGTTTATATTTTACTTTCACTTAAAATGTATATGTCATGTATGACAGACCTAGATGTGAAGAAATGTATATATCATGTATGACAGACCTTGATGTGAAGAAATGTACAACTAGGATCATTCTTCTTGTTACTTCTACATAATAAATCTAATTATTAACGTGATATTTCATGTTGATTACAAATTGCAGAACACACAAATATGTTTCAGTTGTTTATCATTTGTACATTTTGCTGGTATATTATTAATCCATCAGTCGGTCCATTTTTCTCCTTCTTTGTGGTGTACATCCCATCTCACACATCACAAAATCTATAAGGCTTATAATTAATCCTATTTACTATGCACTTTCAGGATTCTGTCCAAAATTGCATTTTCTTGACGGCTTCTCCTGAAACACTGATTGGCTATCTAACTCAATTTCTGTGTGTGTTAGAAACAGAGTAACAAGTCTACGAGTCCATATGTGTCTATCATGACCATCGGCATGGCGACTAACCACCAGCCTTTGCCATATATACCACTATATTGTCCTGTATGTCCATAGAGAAGCTTGGTGTTTTTTTGTTTTTAAATAATTCTTATAGCTGTTCCATACCCGCCATAGACCACATTTTACTCATGTATCGATGTAGACTCATGATCACTGGAACAATAAGCTTAGCAACCATGGCTACCATAGTTACCAGCATAACAACCCATATTCTTTTTAACTGTTACATACACTTACGTAATTCCCTTGATATACCAAACCACAATATATCTTTCTTTCAGAATATGAATTACACCGGAAGAAACTCCTATTTATTTAGATATGTATGGACTCCTCTGATGGATAATTTGTACAAGTCTTGTGCTGTCTGACTAGACAGTATCCATATAGAGCTCGAGTGAGCAATGATGAGGATACAACTCTTTCTCATTTACTTTGACCGGGCTATAGAAAATCAACTCAGATTGTCCTCGGCCATCATTAGCTCTGTATCGTGGACATCAACCCTTTGTAACTTTACCAATCCATCATAAGTCCGAATCAATGGCAAGTCCTGTCCAATGTCTGAGCACAGGGTGGACACTTGGTGAAGAATAAAATCATCAATATTTTACCTGGCTACAGAAGGCACTTAAAGACATGACTAAGCCCTGGGGACATGTATCTTCTACAGTATGTATATAATGTTCCTATTAGTCAAAATAACGGATGTTGTAAACATGTAAATTATACATACAAATGTATATACATTCTATTATGGTTTGATGGGAAATTGTGTGTGTAGACAAGTGTTAGAAAGTTGATCAAGTTATCGCCCTTGTCAAAAAAGCAGTCTATGATGAATGAATAAAGCTCAATATGGATAAAAGTGATTTATCATCAGCAATGACTGTGGTAGCAGAAGCAGAGCTAAATCTATTTTTTATAAAAAAAAATATATATCCTTGATGATATTTCAGAAATCATCAATGAACAAATTGACTCCCCCTGAAGGATAACACTTTAACCATACAATATATGCCTGTAACGATCACGTGTGGAAAGGCCATCAGATAAGGAGGAGAAATAAAGTGTCACTTCTTCAAAACAAATATGCATAAAATGGTTGCAACAATGGCAATCTCAGCTAAAACACATTGCTCCAGATATAGTCATTGATCTTGTACAGAATTCCACACAATTACATTACTGCAGACTTCACCATAATGTTTTCCTGGATATATAAATGACTCTACGGCAAGCATTCCAAAGCTCTTTATCCAAAAGAGATTGTGTAAAATTATATTTTAATTTTGATGAAGTATTTGAACGGTAACATAATGTGAGAAAGCAGAGAACACAGATAAGCTGTTTTGCTCAGAAATCAGACAAGTAGTCTATTGGGCCTGCGCATTAATGATTAATGATTACCTTATTTTCTATGACCTTTGTGAAACAGTGAACTTAAATTTCAACCAACCTGTATGTTAAACAATTAATCATATTAGATATTTTCCATCTAACCAAATAAAATGTTTACCATTTCATATTATGAAATTTTACCATTTTATCCTGCCAAAAACATACCTCATAATCATATTAAATTTTTATCACTTAATCATTTTATTGTTTACCACTTGATCCTATTAAATATTTACCATTAAATCACATATTTGTTTATTTACTGTATCTCTATACAAAAGAATCAGGGGCTCTTTTTATATATAAAAGGAAATTTAATAAAAAAATAAATTAAATTAGAATATATAAATATTGATATAAGCAAACACATTATTAGATTAGTTTTACACAGTGATTATGAAGACACCATTGGACTGTGTATCACGGATGACACAGGTGATTTCCTGTGCTGATCTGGGCCTCAGGTTGATTAGGTCTATACCATATATATACTGTGCCTGGAGAGTAATAAAGCAGACCCAACAAGAGATATATAAGCTTCCTTCCTATACCAGACTGATGACCGGATGTTTCCTCTGACACCAACATAAAAAGTGTTTGGCCATCAACCCACACATAAAAGGGCCAGGTGACCTGTCCTGTACTGATACCTGTTGTAAAGTAGAAAATAGATGTCTTGTCCACCTCAAACCTCCCCACATACACCTATCTGACCAAAGAGGTTCAATCTGCAGTGATAGTAGTTTCATGTGAAAGCTCAAATAGACTTTACAGAAATAGACTCTATAATACAAGCAGCAGGTGATGGGAACAGTGATAGAAGGCATACTTCAACTATATCTGTGCTGTCATACATCCACAACAGCTAGGTCCTGATAGGCCAAAGGATACCACGATTGGCCACAGGGATCTGCACACATTACTATAGCCAGTCATACTGGAATTTTGTGGATCAGTGTTTTACCATATTTTTGTATCAGCAAAGGGATCTTGGATGCTAAGTTATTTGAGGATAGCATGAGTTATGTCTCTATCATTGACACAAACCAAGTATCATGATCAGATCAATCTTAACGGTGTTGGGAGCTAGTATATTAATATCAATAGGTGGAGCCCGGGATACTCCGAGTGGTGCGTTACAGCCAACAGAATGCACTAGTAATGTGCCGATGTATTAGGAATTGTTATTTATCACCGATACATTGATAAAATTATGCACAGATAGCTTTCACTATGAACAAATTTCATCCGTAATGACGAAGTGTTTCCAGTAATTTGTTCTCTATGCTAAATGGCATTAGGTATGGTGGCATTTCTATGGGTATTACTGGGTGTCACAGCACACTAATGAGGGATCAAATGACCCTGGGAGGCTGAGATTTGAGAAGTGTACTACTGGTCTACACCAGTGACATATGGTAGGGCCAGTTAGCACTGGACTGGAGGCTTATAGCGGCATATGTTACACATACAACACATCTGTGCAGCTGTCTTCTTTACGGGTCTCCCATCCCTGTCACCACAGGCTCGGAGACAGGGCGACTAACTCTACACGCGGGAAATCACATCACAACTCCAGCTTTTTACCAGTGGTTTGTGTCATTTGGTATACCGTTCAAATATGTCTACGTTAGGGATACACCACGTGTGACAAAAAGGATTAAAATGGTGTAAACAAAAAGGTAGGCTTTTATGAATCTGTTTTACAAATAATCTCAATATGTACAATGTACAACTGAATAGCACTCTTTGATTCTGGATTTTTTCCCCCCTAATAATTGTTTTAATTCAATTCAAAAGCATTCCTGGTTATCTAATTCAGTTTTGTTTTCATCATAAAAACTATATGGGCAAGATTTCCGAGTCAAGGTAAGAAATACTGCTAATTCACAGATTCTGCTTCAGCCAACTTAAATATGTTTCCCTTTTTCAGCTTAACACCAATCCCCTATCTGCAATTATCTCCTCAAAACTGGTAGTGCTTCTCTTACCAATATATATAGTGGAATATATTAGACGGGGTTTTCTTAAATATTTTCCACCCAAAATCCTCTTGAAATTTTTCATACAGGCCATGCAATTACAGTCAACATTGCTGTTCTATATAGAGTACATTTGGGTAATCCTTATTTTAAACCCATACATATATGTTTAGATTTAGAATTTTCCAACCTTATTCTGAAATGAAAGGACCATTTCAGGTTAAGGTTCTTCTGTAAATCTTTTTTGCAATTATCCATAGTTACATACCATGCCTGTAAATGTTCAACTATTTCATGTAGGTCTACCCATTTGCATAAGCTACTCCTTCTCCGACTTCAGTGTATTTTGATTTCCCTAGAGGAAGTCCTCATCAGATATTCATGAATTTAAAGCCAAGCATTAAACAAGAGATTAATCAATCCACCAGTTATTTTCGTATAAAATCAACACAATTTTATTTTTTTCATGCAGATAAAATCATTAAATTTACATCATCAATCAAAGTATTATATCGTCATTGGTCCAATATTCTTTATCGAAATATAAACAGGTGACAACCCATATCAGGGGGCAAAACTGGATCCCTGTAAATAAAGTCTTAGCAGGGGTTCAAACTTAATCACAATAAATAGGTTGTCTGACATAAATATTTCATATTTATATAATGGGGTCAAAACTATTTACAGGGGTTGAAATTGGATCTCTATAAACAGCCAGTCAGGTTATAATTGGAACTCTATAAATAGACATTTTTATATACAGGGGTTAAAATCGGATCTCTATAATTAGACAGTCAGATTTGAATCTCTACTGTTACAGTAATATATCTCTATTGTTACAGTTATATATATTCTTCAGTTACAGTAATATATCTCTACTGTTACAGTAATAAATTCTTCTGTTATAGTAATAGATCTCTACTGTAACAGTAATGTATTCTTCTGTTATAGTAATATATCTCTACTGTTACAGTAATATATTTCTACTGTTACAGTAATGAATTCTTCTGTTACAGTAATATATCTCTACTGTTACAGTAATGTATTCTTCAGTTGCAGTAATATTTCTCTACTGTTACAATAATAAATTCTTCAGTTACAGTAATATATCACTACTGTTATAGTAATATTTCTCTTCTGTTACAGTAATGTATTCTTAAGTTACAGTAATATATCTCTACCGTTACAGTAATGTATTCTTCTGTTATAGTAATGTATCTCTACTGTTACAGTAATGTATGCTTCTGTTTTAGTAATATATCTCTACTGTTATAGTAATATATCTCTACTGTTACAGGAATATATCTCTACTGTTACAGTAATATATTCTTCAGTTACAGTAATATATCTCTACTGTTATAGTAATATTTCTCTACTGTTACAGTAATGTATTCTTCAGTTACAGTAATATTTCTCTACTGTTACAGTAATAAATTCTTCTGTTACAGTAATATATCTCTACTGTAACAGTAATTTATTCTTCAGTTACAGTAATATATCTCTACTGTTACAGTAATGTATTCTTCAGTTACAGTAATATTTCTCTACTGTTACAATAATAAATTCTTCAGTTACAGTAATATATCTCTACTGTCACAGTAATATATCTCTACTGTTACAGTAATATATCTCTACTTTTACAGTAATGTATTCTTCAGTTACAGTAATATATCTCTACTTTTACAGTAATGTATTCTTCAGTTACAGTAATATATCTCTACTGTTACAGTAATGTATTCTTCAGTTACAGTAATATATCTCTACTTTTACAGTAATGTATTCTTCAGTTACAGTAATATTTCTCTACTGTTACAGTAATATATCTCTACTGTTGCAGTAATATACTCTTCAGTTACAGTAATATATCTCTACTGTTACAGTAATGTATTCTTACGTTACAGTAATATATCTCTACTGTTACAGTAATAAATTCTTCTGTTATAGTAATATATCTCTACTGTTACAGTAATGTATTCTTCTGTTATAGTAATATATCTCTACTGTAACAGTAATGTATTCTTCAGTTACAGTAATATATCTCTACTGTTACAGTAATATATTCTTCTGTTACAGTAATATATCTCTACTGTTACAGTAATGTATTCTTAAGTTACAGTAATATATCTCTACTGTTACAGTAATATATTCTTCTGTTATAGTAATATATCTCTACTGTTACAGTAATATATTCTTCTGTTACAGTAATATATCTCTACTGTCACAGTAATATATCTCTACTGTTACAGTAATGTATTCTTAAGTTACAGTAATATATCTCTACTGTTACAGTAATAAATTCTTCTGTTATAGTAATATATCTCTACTGTTACAGTAATATATCTCTACTGTTACAGTAATGTATTCTTCAGTTACAGTAATATTTCTCTACTGTTACAGTAATAAATTCTTCAGTTATAGTAATATATCTCTACTGTTACATTAATATATTTCTACTTTTACAGTAATATATCTCTACTGTTACAGTAATATATTCTTCTGTTATAGTAATATATCTCTACTGTTACAGTAATATATTCTTCAGTTACAGTAATATATCTCTACTGTTACAGTAATATATCTCTACTGTTACAGTAATATATCTCTACTGTTACAGTAATATATCTCTACTGTTACAGTAATATATCTCTACTGTTACAGTAATATATCTCTACTGTTACAGTAATATATCTCTACTGTTACAGTAATATATCTCTACTGTTACAGTAATATATCTCTACAGTTACAGTAATATATCTCTACTGTTACAGTAATATATCTCTACTGTTACAGTAATATATCTCTACTGTTACAGTAATATATCTCTACTCTTACAGTAATATATCTCTATTGTTACATTAATATATTTCTACTGTCACAGTAATATATCTCTACTGTACAGTAGTGCAGTAATTCTAATGTTTTCTACAAATCTAGATAAATCAATAAAATTGCCTGAAATCAGATTTTGCAAACAGAGTTCTATAGATGTTCTTTACCTAAATCTCCAACCTATATTTACACCCACTGGCTAAACACCATGAATCATATCAAAGTAAACATCAACATAAGTTCATTACATAATCAACTTGAGTGGATGAATCTGCAATGCTTTAAGGTCCCGATCAAGCCAAGGGTAATAATGTGAAATGCTGAAATATTTGTTGACACATAACCCTAATCTTGTTTATTCTTCTGTTCCAAGACAAATGTCCTTAATCCCTTTAATTCTCCTATTCCCAGAGATATGTCCCTAATCCCTTAAATTCTCCTATTCCCAGAGATATGTCCCTAATCCCTGTAATCCTCCTGTTCCCAGACACATGTCCCTAATCCCTGTAATCCTCCTGTTCCCAGACACATGTCCCTAATCCCTTTAATCCTCATGTTCCCAGACGCATGTCCCTAATCACTTTAATCCTCCTGTTCCATGACACATGTCCCTAATCCTTTTAATCCTCCTGTTCCCAGGCACATGTCCCTAATCACTTTAATCCACCTGTTCCATGACACATGTCCCTAATCCTTTTAATCCTCCTGTTCCCAGGCACATGTCCCTAATCACTTTAATCCTCCTGTTCCATGACACATGTCCCTAATC